CAGGAATTGTTCCAAGAAATTGCGGCGCACCACAATCGCCGGAGCATCGCTCGCCACGTGGCAGCCCACGAGAAAAACAAACTCTGCGCACCCCTGTGCCTGCGCACGAATGCACCCTTGTGTCTGAGTGCCCCGCCAGCGCGTGCATCACAGTGCCAGCGTGCACCAAAAAGACCGCGCACACCTCCAGGTGCCCGATGGCGTCAAACGTCAACAAAACATGGCCGGCGCGAACGTATCAAATTCAAGGTGCAAGTTGTTTGTGATTATTGTGTTTTTTGTTTTCTGGCCACGGGCACAGCCCTTATCCCCGTTGCCTGCGCGCACAACAGTACCAATGTATACCACAACGCAAGACACCACAACGCCTGCGTGCATCTTAACTGCCGCGCAGCTGGCGCGTGTGCGATGCGCACAGAATTTCTTCTCTTCCAATGTGAGTGCGCCGCCGCGTCTGCGCGGGTGCCACAACAGCCTGCGCACGCCACGCGCCTCTACAGAACACGAGCACATGCCTGCGCACACTGCAAACATGATGCGCGCACTACGAACAGCATACCTGCGCGCTAAGCAACAGGCGCTGCTGCAACGGGGGTGGGTGGGGCGGCGGGCGTTATGTTAGCTACTGGGTGGGCGGGTGGGTTGGAAGCCACCTGACGCGCGAAAAAAACTTGAGCCCCTGATTGTGTTCCTCCTTTCTGGGAGGGGGGGAGGAAGGCGGAGGAACGAGGTTGATTTATATAGATTGTTGTCCTCCTCGGGTCACCTCGGCCGTGAAGTCGGGCTCGCCGGGGCGCGGGGGGCAGGCCATGTCCAGGTAGAAGCCGGCGATCGGGACCGTGACGGGCGCCTCGTCGTCCACGACATAGAAGAAGCGGACGCCGTCGCGCCACACCGGCACCGCGTCGGGGGCCGCGTAGACCTTGACGCTGAAGAGGCGGAAGAGCAGCTGGAACGCCCCCTGGAGTACGGCGGAGAGGGGGAAGTACGGCTGGAGGTCCTCCATGCGGACCGTCAGGCTCTCCTGGAACAGGCGGTCCCTCCAAAAGGGCACGTCCCAGGGCCTCATGCGGGGGCAGCAAGCGGCCACAGGCACACCGAGGACACGCCCTCGGGGATATCTTGCGCATGCCGGCAATCGTCAGAACACCGAAGCCAGCTCAGTGCTGGCTGTGGTCGATGTGGCGCCCCAGGACGGCCAAATCGATCAAAACCACAACCAAAGGGTTCATGTCGAGGTCGTTGGGCTCTTCCCCGAGGGGCCCTCCCGAAAAATCCACTCAGTGGTGGCTGCGATTCCTTGTGTGCGAGGCGGGGGTTTATCCATATCCACCGCCTGGGAACCGACGTCCTGGTGCCCCAACGGGCGGTGGACGTGGCTAAATGGTGGCCCCCGGGGGGCCGAGTATATCCACATCCACCGCCTGCCGAGGTCCCCGAACATTGATCCTCCAGGCAGCGGTCATGTATAAGTTCCCGCCTCGGCTTGTCGCCCTGGGGCCTCAGCTCGCCCGCCGCCCCGCTCTGCTCGGCGAAGGCCTGCAGGTCCCGCGCCTCCTCCGCGGCGGCGGCCTGCGCGGCCGCGCGGAGGCCTCCGAGGAGCTGTTGCGCCTGCGGCAGGCTCGCCATGCGCGCGGTAAACACGAGGTCCGCGAAGCTGTCGTACCTCAGAGGCCCCGCTACGCAACACGCAACCAGTAGCGGGTTGACACGGAGCTCAGCACGCAGAACGAAAACGCAGGTCTGGCGCGGTGCGTTCGGCCAAACGTGGGCCAGCACGTGCGTGAGATGCGCGCGCTGCACAGTCAAGACTGACAGCAGGGATGCGCGAGCAGGATGCAGGCCCCCTGCACGCCCACGCCGAGGCTCTTCGAGCGGGGCTGGCCATTGGAAGTGGTTACACGTCGGTCGGAAGAAGTAGATAGAAACATGAAGTAGGAAGGCGGATATAGTGGATCGGGTCCAGGTGCTCCCAGAGAATCACAAAACACAGCAAAAACAGGTCGCTTCTTGAAGTAGGAAGGCGCTTGAAGTAGATTGGGATTTGGGAGTCCAAAAATACCTGCTCTCAGCGACCGGCGTGTAAGGGTGGACCGAAGAGGCAGGGGTACCCTTGGGGGGAAACAAGAACCACCCGCACCATCGCTCTCGACTGCACGTGCTGCGCAGTTCAGCACGTGCGCAGCAGGGCAGGCTGAGGGCCGTGCTCGAACAGGCGCGCCCAGTCGCGCCGCAGCTGCAGCATCCTGGCCACGATCCACGAGTTGTCCCCCGCGGCGGGCTCCAGGCCCACGGCCGCGGTGATGTTGCGCCAGCCGCGGTGCGCGTGCGCAAGGAAGACCTGCCGGCGCAGGTCCTCGTCGCCGCTCCTCTCGAGCACGGCCTTCCGCACGGCCGGCGCGAGGGTCAGCAGCCAGGGGCCTCGCTCCGCGGTGGCCGCACCGTGGCCGGCACTCCTGGAAGGGGCCCTGGGACACGCAAACAAATACACACAAATCACAGGAGTCCCCATGCTTTCCCACGTCTTCTGGGCTTCTGTCTTCCCCCCCACTTCCCATAGCTTCCCATCTTTTCGGGGGAATCGACGGCCAATCGTGTCTGTCTGTGTGTGCTCTTTCTCCTCCCGAGCTCCGCGCCGCGCTCGCCGCCTGCTCCCGCGCCGCGGCCGGGAAGTCGGCGACCTCGCGGACCTCCGTGAGCAAGCGTATGCCCCGCGCCTCGTCGCGGGCGACGTTGTCCTGGGCGCTCGCGGCGCTCCAGCAGCGCGAGCAGCGGGGGGAGGCGAGGCGCGAGGAGCGAGGGCCCAGGCGCGAGGAGCGAGGCGCGAGGCGCGAGGCGCGAGGCTCGAGGGTGGGGGAGCGAGGAGCGAGGCGCGGGCAGCGCTGTCCTGGAAGATCGCGGCCAGGTGGGCGAGCTCGTGCTGGATGTCGTCGTGCCGCCGGGCGGCCTCCGCGGACCGCAGGCCGACCCCCGCGTGCCGCATGTCGCCCATGAGCCTGCGGAGCACGCGCCGCTGCGCCTCGGAGAGCCTGCGCTCGGAGAGGAGGCGCATCGACTCGTACAGCTCCTCTGAGGCGAAGCCAGGGCGAGGATCGCATCGGACAGCGATAACTTGAGGATCTCTGAGGTCCGGCGGCTCTGGAGGACGCGTCGGGCGCCGCGCCCTCCTCGGAGCGTGTTCTGGACCGCTCTGGGAGCGTTCCGGCATCGCTCTGGAATTCGGAGAGCTGCCCTGGTGCTCTAGCCCCGCCCGGTCCTCGGACTGCGCCAGGGCCATCGACAGGCCATTGACGGGGGCCAGGCGATCGTGGAAGACGTGGTGGGCATCCCTCGAGCTGTCGGAGGAAGAGAGGGCGACGCAGACACACGCCGTGGGAGGCCCGCGCGGCTTTCTCGGATCGGCGCTGCGCCGCCCTCTGGCGGAGCGCGGCAGCGGGGACGCGCCGCCAGAGGGGTCCAGCTCGGCGATCTGGCCCAGACCTGCGACGCCCTGTTTTTTTTTTTCAGGACGGCGTCCCTGGAAGTCCCGACCCTTTCCCCGGGACCTGTTTTTCGTCCTGAGTCGTTTTTCGACGGTCCCGAGGCCCGGCGAGGGCCCCCCAGGGCCGAAAACAGCCACAAACCTCCCGTCCTGGATTTTTGTTACGACGCGATCATGTCTGGGGAGAAGCCCGCACGAACCTCCGAAGTTTCTGCTCGTGTCGCCTTTCCTCCCTCGAGCTGTTCACCTCCCTGATCAGGGAGATCGTGCTCCAGGCGCGACCCAGGCGGTCCAGCAGCCTCTCCAGGGGGCGCGCGAACTTGGCCCAGGTCAGCAGGCTCGAGCTCAGGGCGTTCGCCTCCCGCAGGTCGGACTGCCAAACGTCGACGTCCCGCCGGAACTGCTCCGTGGCCGCGAACATCGTGTCGGACAACCGGAGGGGCGGCCCGTCGAGACGACGACGGCTGCCCCGCCCGGCCACGGTCCGTCGAAAATCAACGAGGGAGGAGGAGGAGGAGGAGGAGGAGGAGGAGGAGGAGGAGGGGATGAGGAGGAGGAGGAGGAGGCTGAAAGAGGAGGGAAGGGAGAGGGATGCAGGGAGGTATGAGGGGCGGAAGGGGAGTGAGGAGTGGGGGGGTGTGGGGAGGAGGGATGAGGGGGGTAGGTATGAGGAATGGTGGGAGGGGGGAGGGAGAGTAAGGGGGGAAGCGAGGGGTTGGGAGGGAGGGAGTGTGGCAAATGGACAGGATGGGAGGATGGCGTGAGGAGGGATTGGGGAGGAGGCGGGAGAGTGTGGTAGGGATCGGGAAGGGGCGGCAAGGGACTACGGGGGAGGTGATGTGGGGTATGGGGGGGTTGGATGAGGGGGAAGGAGTTAGAGAAGTATAGACGAATACAATCATCCCGCATGACAGGGGGACCGGAGGGAGCATAGTGGAGGGGATGAGGGGGGGGTGGGGTATGGGGGGTGACGAGCGTGGCGAGGGGGTCGTGAAAGGGGGCGGAGGGGAAGGTTATTGGAGGAGAAGGATAAGGAGGAGAAATAACAGATGGAAGAAGAAGGACGGGCTATCGGAGAATAACGGCAGAATAGACACTTAGGGTGTAGGATTGGGATTGACTCTGAGGTTGGAGAGTGAGGATGGCGAGGGAGGAGGAGGTGGGGAGGGATGGAAGGCATGATTGATTAGGAGTATGTCAGGGAGTAGTAGTGAAATGCAAAGACGGCATAATAAGGATACGGACTGATACTTAGAGGAGGAGGAGGAGGAGGAGGAGTGGGAACCGGAGGCATCCAAGAGGGGCGGCCCGTCGAGGCGGCGGCGGCCCTCCCTGGCCTGATCCCGTCCTTCGTGGGCCTCCTTCGGGCTCCTCGTCGCCTCGGGCGGGGGCCGCCTCGCAAAACGCGCCCAGCACGGCTTGTGTGCGACTCCCCCTCTTGGGCGCCCCCCCCTCGGGTTCCCACTCCTCCTGTTCCTCCTCCTCCTCCTCCTCCTCCTCCTCCTCCTCCTCCTGCTCCTCCACTCTCCTCCTGCTCCTCCCTCCTCCTCCTCCTTCCCCCCCCCTCCTGCCTTTGCTCCTGTGCTCTGTCCTCCTGTCCTCCTCCTCCTCCTCCTCCTCCTCCTGCTCCTCCTCCTCCTCCTCCTGCTCCTGCTCCTGCTCCTCCTCCTCCTCCCTCGTCGATGTTCGACGGACCTTGGCCGGGCGGGGCAGCCGTCGTTGTCTCGACTGGCCCTCCTCCGAGATAGGTGCAGGGGCCGGGCGTCCCTGAAGTTCGGCAGGCCGTCCACCTCCTGTTGAGCAGGGGCCGACCGTCTTGGAAATCCTATAGTCCTACCAGAACATGTTCGTAGAACCCACAGATGTTCGAATCACAAGAGCACTGTTCTCAGAACGCGTGTCGGCCAGGACAGTTCCAAGACCACCCCGTGCAGACCGCAAAGGGTTCTCTTAGGGCATCCTTCGGGGGGCCCATAGAGGCAAGCCAGGGCGCTTCGCAGCTGCTCGATCCTGCAGCAAAGGGTTCCACTCGTGGGCCAACCTGCGCCGCAGCTTGAGCTCCACCGGCCTCTGCTTCTTGCTGGACGCGCCGAGGCTGCCCTTCCTTCGCCGCTCCGGGGGCTGCAAGCCGTCGCTAAAGAGCGGCAACACGCCGGGGCCGCCCAGCTGCTCGTCGTCGTCGTCGTCCTCGGGGTCAGGAGCCGACCTCTCGACCTGCCCAGGTGGTCTCGCCCTGGCCAACCTTTCTCGAGGCGGATCCCGCCGTGGCCCCCGGGGTGGCCTCCCAGAGGAGAGGAGGAAGAGGACCCGAGGGGCCAGCTGCTGTCTCGCCGCGCCCACCGAGGTCTGTTATCCTCTGCAGGCGGCCGCGCCCCTGTCGGTTGACGTCCTCTGCATGCTCCTCGCGAGCGCTGCGAGCCCCGGTGCCTGAAAAGCTGGTCAGCGTCAAAACCAAGATGGCGGCCCGGAGCCCTCGCGCCGAAGCGTGGCGGCGCGCACGCGGGTTAGGTCGGGCGTGTCCTCCGACAGGCGGATTCTGGAGGAAAGAAATAATAGTCAAAGAACAATCAAAAATGATCCAAAATTCGTCCCCAGACTATTTGTTTCCTACTTGTGGATTTTCCCCGTGAAGAGGGACAGGCCCGACTTAACAAAAGGGGGCAGGCGGAGTGGCAGGCAAGCTTGTCAGAGGGAGGCTGCTTCTCAGAAGGCGCTGGCACTACATCTGCAGACAAGGCCCGCGCCCTCTGAGAAGCATGGTGCTGCTGAGAAGCCTCCCCCCCTCCCCCATACAGTGGAGGCCAGTCCACAAGAGACCTTCCACAAGAAACCCAACCCTGAGACCCCAGAACCTCCATGGATTTCTTGCTGTGGGAGCGGCACGCTCTCCATCGCAGAACCATCGAAGCCCCAGAAAACCAGGGCACCCTGGAGGCCAGCGGGGTGTTTCTTGGC